CTCTGTTACAGTTATGTCACCCTTTGTTTTTGTCTGATGTGCATTTTTCGCGGAACGATACTGAATCATGTTTTTACGCTAATTAATCTAATTATCTTCTCATGATGAGCACCTGCGCCGTGGAAAATCTTGGGGGAGGCCTTTGTCCAGCAGTGGATGTCTTTCGGCTGAAACGACAATGAACGAACACCTGCCAAAAATTAGATTTTTGTAGTCCGCAGAAAAATATTCAATATCGGCAGATAATTTTATATTTATACTAGCTGTGCCCGCGACTTCGTACGCGTGAAAACCCGTTTCCGCAACATTTTTCATTATTACTCTGCTCCTATTGATCGTAGTGTGATGTTGTGTAGCCTATAGCCTTCCTCGATAAATGGGCTATCTAACACTGAAAGAGTTTTTCAAATCGGACCAGTAGTTCCGGAGATTAGCGCGTTCAAGTAAACAAACAAACTCTTCACCTTTATAATATTAGTATAGATGTTACGTGACACGTGTACCTAATGTTATTTGTGTTTCACATTAATTCAGGAGCGTGCAGTGCATAATAAAAGCAAAGTGCTAAAAGGTTTTTTTTTAATGAAAATCTTTAGTTTTTTCAAATTCGTTTGGGTTCAACATGTTTCCCATTTTAACAGTTGTAAATATTTAAAACTGACAGTCTAATCTAGACTCAACTGATAGAATGTCTAGAAAATACAGACTTCAAAACTCTAGTCTGTATACTGAGAGCTTATTAGCTTTCCTCGGCTTTTCAACTAAGCTCATAAAGCTCGAGGATCATCTAAGTTCTCGAGAACAAAGTACACCTTGATACATTAAATAAAAAGCACAAAAGCTCCTTCTAACGGAAAAGCTTTCTTGATTACACACGCTAGAACGCCATTATTAACGATCTCATTAACTTTTAGGTCTTAAATTATTCATTAATTATTTTAATCTACAGTTTAAGCTTTTGATAAGTCGCTTAATTTATAGTTTCGATTAATTTTACTACGAATGGAACATTATCATTAATTAGAAGAATCAAGTTGCTCGGACTAATTGCCCTTTATGGTTGAATTATGACAAACTAAAGCTTTAATTTGTTAGTGTCTGTTACAGAAAACTATTATTTTGCATTTATTGATTGCTTCTTATCGTGACAACTTCTTACGTGTATTTAGTAGAACATTTGTATTTTGCTTATATCTGCAGAAAGATTTAAATAAATTTAATAAACTAGGATGGTTACTTCAGCAATTAAAAGAAGCCCTATACTTACATTGTAAAGACAAATAAGCTTTAACTTACACTAATTATGTGAACTTTAAAACTAAGGATAAGACGCACTAATCCTCCGTTTCCTTGTCACATGACAGCTCGACAGGAAGCACTATAAAATAACGCTTGATGGAAAACAAAGAAGCAATAAAAATTACAAATTACTTCATTCGTAGGGGTAAGTGCTCTGCTCGTAAGGGAAGCCTGCTAAAGCTTTCGTTAGGGAGCTTTTTACTAGCGATGGTGTAGACTGATTTTACTATTTGTTCTCGAAGTAAATACAAAAGAAAATATTTAAGTACATTTATATCTGCCGTCTGAATAAAATATTGAAGGATATTTAAATACATATTTATTTATATTTTGCTTTGTTTCGGAGTTGTTTTCTATGCTAATTATTTGTATCAAAGAAATCAGAAGCATTTTTATCGTTTAGCACAGCGGTTCCCGAATGGTGGTCCGCGGAACCCTGGGGTTCCGTGGAAAGGCCGCAAGGGTTCCGTAAAAATATTATCCCACGTTTCGTGACCGCACAAGGGAGGGGCAGGGCGTGCGGGCGGAGTAGTACGGGGGTTCCGCTAGGAAAAGTATAATCAATTAGGGTTCCTTGGCAAAAAAAATTGGGAAACCCTGGTTTAGGATACGTCATGAAAGTGTCAACTTATCTTGTCATAAGAACATAACTAATTATTATCACTTCACTTTAAGTCACATTCTAAGAAAGAGCATCTAATCTTCGAGAAAAGTTAACTGTTCTAATAGAGTAAACATGGTCAGTTGTTTCAAATGTTTTACTGTATTCAATGGTGGCTGAAATCCTTATGAAACTAGAATTTATATCTCACACATTTTTCTTCGAGTTCGACTCGACTCGAGACTCGTAGTATAATCTCACCGAAGGCAGCGTCTGGGCGGCCCGCCCGCCCAGTCGCGCGGCGCTCGCTGTAGGGCGCGCTCGTCGAAGCCTTCAGCATTAACTTCCGGTCAAAGCGACTTGGCCGGTCTTTGTTTTCAAACAACGAATCGGTTATTCATCGAGTAAGTAGTTAGAACTATTTTAATTCGGTTATAGATTTTCTGTTTTTATTTGAGGACGATATTAATTTTTTTTTATTACTTTGTAAAATTAGTCTCGTTAGTTTGACTACATGCAAATAAATACTTTGTGGGATCCTTAATTTTTTTTAGTGGCATATTTCTCACAAGTTATCCTTGAGGTGCAATTATCTCCATGTTTTCAGTGGTAAAATGTTTGGTGGTAAAAAATTGACTTGCAAACTTGGTGATACTTGTGGTTCAGTAGACAAACACCGAGCTAGTTTTTTGTTGTTTTTATAAAGTTTAGTTTTGCATAAAAAGTTGTCCATTTCTTTGGTGTAGTAATTTTTGATTTAAAATAGCGCTTATTAAAACTACATTAGACACCAAATTGTTTAGCTTGACGTCCCGTTGTCAGTATAATAAATAACATTACTCGTGATTGATTACATTTTAGCACACACTATCCGAATTAAATTACTAATGTATTTACTGAAAACACATGTTATCACGCGCAGGCATTATATTTTTATCGCAAGTTAACAAACGATTAACTCATTATCTGTCCCTTGCCATCCCGACGACATTATCAATTATCTCTGTCTCACTATTGCAAATTTTTTCCTTTCTCTTTCGCACCAGGATGGTTGCATTTGTGTGCAATTATTGCGCGTTTCTTTTGTGTTTTTTGATAAAAATGTTTTGTTAAAAGACTTATCAGTTGCAACTGGGTCTTTCCTGTATTATGAGCGAATGGAAGTTAACTGTGCTTGTTATCGTGTATAAAAAGTTTGGGTAGCGTGACGTATGAAAAAGCTGATTCATAGATGAATGAATGTAAAACTTTGGAATCTAAATGTATGGGATATAAAATTAATTACGGCGGTTTTAATAAGAAATCCTCACTATTTCACTTCATTATTTACCTACTATGGAATGGATCTCTTTCTTTATTTTGACATTTTTTTTATCTATCATCTACAAGCTCTAAAATAATTCAATTCTGCGTTTAGGAATTTATTGACACTATAATTAAGCTGTGTATTCAGAATCTATTTCCTCAATTTTGTCCATAATAAACACACTAGTTAATGCATTATTTGATCTAAAACATACGTTATTACTATTTAAACAAAGCTCATTATCCTCAAACGTGCTCCTGTTTACAGCGAACATTAATCATTAATCACCTACAGGACAAACGGCATGCCCACACATAAATAAATTACAACTAAATAGTTCTGTCACTTATCAGTTGAACGCACCCGGAATCGAATCTATGACACTTGTGCTGTCATTGTCAGTCCATCTTCGGCGACAGCACGGGACAGACTACCCCGCGTGTTTATTTTTATAATATTAACTAAAATTGATACTAACAGGACAATTAAATATATCTAAATTGAAATACAATGACTTTATAATAGCTTACTTGTTGAAGTGTTGTTATAAGTTTGGTGTAGTGTAGTTAAGCATTTCTGTGTTGTGTGTAATAGAAAATCAGTGAAAATGCTGTCTTTAAGGCCGGTCCACGATAGGCTTTTCAACTTTAAATCTATTAAGGAGAAATTCGAGCAGCCCAGGTAAACATACAATCTCATACATTTTATATTAGCCTCTTTAAAAACGCCTCTAGCGTCATCATACCAAATCGTGTGTTGTGTGATAAAAGTAATTTAAAAACATGTTCTTCATTAAAGTTGTATGATATCAAAAGCGTTTTGATGCATAAAACAAAAGGTGTTTCACACAAAGAGTGAGACAATCGAATAAATCAAAACAGGGAATGTATCGAGAGAGCTTGAATGATAAGAAAAGAAAGGGACGCTCCTTTCTTATCATTCAACCTCTCTCTATCTCGAGACTCGAGAGTTCCAAAGTGCTCCGTCAACAGCTTTACTTGGAGCTTTTATTGACGTCTATCAATTTATTTGTTGACGTTGATACACGCTAACAATACAATATTTTGCTACTGTTACCTATTTGGTTTTATTCTTTATGTTGACTGAAGTGCGTAGTCTTCTTTATACTTTTTCTGGTTCCAAAACCGTGATATGTTTGTGTTGTTTTGGTGTTGAAGTGCACAAGGTTGTGCTTGCATTACCCATTATACTTGTTAGATTTATTAGTAAACCGTTGATAAGTCCACTTGCAAGTTATTTAAATATTACACTCTATGAGTCAGGGATGTTATGGCTATCCGTAACCGTAACCGAAACTTTCGGATATCCGAAATAAAAAAATATCCGTAACCGTAACCATAACCGATTCAAAGGTTTCGGATAGTTTCGGATGTAGGCAGGAGTCAAGCAAGCCCCTACGCTGATTTATTATTGCATTTTGAAGTAGGTACATGAGTTTTTCCCACAAGATAAAAGCTTTTTTGTGAGACCAAAAGAAGGTGACAGATGCCAAAGAAATCTCTTCTGTACCCATTGTTTGTAAGACACTAACTGTGTTGGACAACTATTGGAATCTACACTATTGCATTCTATACTCAGCACACATATCCGTAACCATAACCGATTTTTTCAGATATCCGAAATAAAAAAATATCCGTATCCGTATCCATAACCGAAACTACATGTCCATAACATCCCTAGTCCATGTAAACCCTCCGCACTTTAGAAGGGCTAGACGTTAATTTAGTTAGTGTTACCTGACGCATACCAATTTGTGTGTTTCCTTGTTTGCAGGGCGGGCGGCGGAGTGCAGCGCAGCGCGACGCATGCCGAGATGCCGCACCGAGGGGGCACCATTGCCGAAAGGTAAATAATATAGACACGACATAAACGTATACAGTCAACAGCACTTCGATTACCTTATACACTTATTCTTAATGACAACTATAATAGCTACAACGACATAGCTTCGTCGTGCCGCCTATGCGTATTTCGGTCTTCCGATACAGAAAAATTGCGGTCAAAAAACATCTTTATTTAACAAAAGCGTTACTTTTATAGCCCTACTGACCTGATATAATGTTCTATATCATTTTCTAGGACGAAAAACTCATAAACAATGGAGCATACTAGTGCGAAAGTAACTCTATTTGTTATGCTATCACGTTTAATATCATACCAAACAATTACTTTCGCTTAGTATGGATGGTACTGATGTACTATGATCTATCGGTTGCTAACTTCGACCCAGACTACAAAGGCGTGAGTTCGAACCTCGTAGGGCCAATGTCCCTGACTTATGATGTCTACCGCTTAGTGCTGAAGGTATAGCTAGTACAGACGGCGGCACATGAAGCTAAACACTATTCTACACTAATATTATAAAGAGAAAAACTTTGTTTGGTTGTAATGAATAGGCTCAAAAACTACTGGACCGTTTTTAAAAATTCTTTCTAGAGATGAAACGGATAGTTGTTTGGCCGGATACCGGATATCCGGCCAGCTGCTAGGCCGGATAGCCGGATATCCGGCGGCCGGATAGTTGGCCCATTGTCTCGTTGCATGTTGTGACGAGTTTAGCGCCGCACAGGTGCTTCGAACGTGATCAGTGGGTCTATTAATAGACTAGACTAGTCACACTTTTCGAAAATCCTTTCCGTCCGAATAGAATGTCAGATTTTGCCACTTGTCTAGGGCAGTGGTTCCTGAATGGTGGTCCGCGGAACCCTGGGGCTCCGTGGAAAGGCCGCAAGGGTTCCGTAAAAAATATTATCCCACGTTTCGTAACCGACGTTCGCTCGCACCGACTTGTTTACGCACAAGGGAGGGGCAGGGCGTGCGGGCGGAGTAGTACGGGGGTTCCGCTAGGAAAAGTATAATCAATTAGGGTTCCTTGGCAAAAAAAATTGGGAAACCCTGGTCTAGGGGGCAGATCAATTCGGGTGATTTCGGTGTGTGATTGAATAGCGAAAATTAAATTAGTCTACTTGCTGCGTAATCTGACTGAACTGCATGCATCATGATGTCACTAGACCATCAGTGAAAAATAGATCGCCTTTTTTATTTGGCAATATTTCGACATTAACAGATGTTTAGGTAGGTACTATTTATGTATTCGTCATAAGTGTGATTAGCCCAGAAAAAAAAAATTTTTGAAAGGCCTTAACATGGCTTTTTTGTAACTTTTTGGACTTTAAATAAAAGCCGTCATTATTATAAGCCATTTTATTGATATTTACCTTAAAGATTAATGTATTTCATTTTATTAATAGGAAAATGTCGTAGTTTTTTAATATCCGGTATCCGGCCGGATAGTGAGTTACTATCCGGTATCCGGCCGGATAGTAAATATAGGCCGGATATCCGGCCTACCGGATAGTTACCGGATATCCGTTTCATCTCTANTATCCGGCCGGGTAGTGAGTTACTATCCGGTATCCGGCCGGATAGTAAATTTAGGCCGGATATCCGGCCTACCGGATAGTTACCGGATATCCGTTTCATCTCTAATTCTTTCATCATTCGAAAGCTACATTATCCACGAGTAACATAAGCTACATTTTATTTTGGAAAAAATAGGGTTCGTAAAATATTTGTTTGTTTTTTTTCGGAGTCCACGCGGGCGAAGCCGCGGGCGGAAAGCTAGTGTTTTATATAGTTGTAATAGGAGCTATATTGCCCCTGTAAATAGTCTGGTGTGCTGTAGACACTGCACTAAATGGTCTTTGTCCATTACCTGTAAAAAAAAGCTTGTAATAGGCGGTATATTACAAGTTGGTTTTCAACAACTCAGATCAGCAAATCCTTAGCTGGTTCAGGTTGTACAATTGATATCAAATCAGTCTGCACATTTTTGTTGCACTTTTTGTCTTTTTCTCTTCTTGTTACAACTTATATGCCACGGAATACAGCTCTATATGCAGTTGCCTACATTACTATGGTTACTATTTATATTACACCATAGGATCACACCCTGTACGTTCCCGAACCTCCCGTATATTCCCGTCACCGACTACATGTCGCCATCCCATCGATCCCAGAGGACGCACTACACTTACTGTAATGACAAGACTGCATGTCATGTAACTTCAAAGTGAAGTAAATTATATATGCTTTGAGAGAACGTATATTTTTCTTTGACATTATTCAGATTGAGACATAGAACTTACATAGGTACCTATTTAACGTAATAATACTGAGGACTTTCAGGATTACAATGTCGACTGTGGATTCGGTTTCGAATCCCGGAGAGAATACAGTAAAAGTATTATGGATTAAGCTACTTTCAAGGAAGAGATAGAATAGAAACTTTTCTGGAAAAATAAGGAACTAAAGACAATTTTTTTTTTTCAAATATTATTAGAGAACGCCTACAATCCGACATTATCATGAACTAAATTATTTACGCACCGTTTGCAGGAAAACGTATTTATTTATATTCTGGTCCCTGTGAAACTGTTACAAACTAACCTACATTTATATCATGTTGTTTGTTAATATGCGTAATTTCAACACGCAAAAGAACCCAACAAACCTCATTTAGTATAAGTATCTCATTTAATGCTTACTATGAAGAGGTATGATTTCATTGGTTTTTTTTTTATTGAAGTGTCCGAAACTATTGGACCGATTCGAAAAATTCTTGAATCCTACATTATTTGTGGTGAACATGAAAATGGTGGCAGCTAGTTTTTCTTAATGTAACGAAGATAGAATTTTGTTTGATTACTCGTATAAATAATTCTGATGAAGATTAATTACATTCGTTCTCAAACATTGAAATACATGCGTAAGTCAAATACAACTTTCCCTCGTCTCATTTCCATCTCAATGATGGAGCGAGTCCATCAATCATAAAAAGTAAAGTCTTATTCTAACAGCTAAGGGACAGTGTCCCAAAAGATCATGTTCAATCAATTGAAGATGGGAGAGTGACCATATTATGGACTGACTTTTCTCGTGCATCAAATGATTTTTTTTTAAAACACACATTATTTAGATTTCATCATCATCAGCATTTCAGCCATAGGACGTCCACTGCTGAACATAGGCCTCCCCTAATGCTTTCCATGTTGATCGATTGGTAGCGGCCTGCGTCCAGCGCTTCCCTGCTACCGTACCTGCTGTCATCGGTCCACCTTGTGGGTGGATTGATCTTATTTAGATTTACAAGTTATAAGTTATATTTGTTTTTCGCTATAAAATATTTTCCCAAAGTAATTTAAACAATAAACTTGAAAGAGAACACCGAAAAGTATGACGTTCAAGTTTTCTCTATTACATTACGTTGCGTTTTCTGAAAATTGATTATTTTAAACGCCAGTTGTGATAATTAATGTCTTGTTTTTAACTTTGGAATAGACGCAAGAGTATCAATGGGCATTAATTATCCTTTAAAATTTTAAATATTGTGGCAACTGTATTTGCTCCGGACTTCAAACACTTGTGGGAATAATTTACCTTCTGGTATTTAGTTTTCCTTGTTACTGGTGATTAGTTTACTAATGACCGATAACAGCCGTAAGTCAGACAAAATATTTGTAGTGGACAACAAGTAGGTACTTAACTAAGTGATCTTTGTCATGTGTTACTTACATAATGGAAGTTTAATTGTGTAGGTTTATTTGTTTAGTTCTAGCTATCGTATATCATAACCTATTTGCTGGTGGATAAGGTTTATTTAATTACCAGGTTAAATGCATTGTCGAAAATGATGTTATTGCTGTTGTATGAAGGAATTGCATTGAAGAATATTTATTTGTAAATTGCATTTGTTATAGTAAGCTTACAAGTTTATATCTGTAACTGTGATTCGTTTGAGCTACGTTTCATAATTTCATACTCTTAGTTAGTATTTTAAAGGAAGTTGCCATCTTTCTGTTCATATTTTGTTCTGTATTTTCCTTTTCGTTTGAAAACTTTACATAGAACCATACTGTATCTCGAAACGAAATATTATTCAATTTGTACCAAAATTTGGCACTTTTTAACGACAAAAAAGATAACAACAAAATAGTAATTTAATGGGCCTACATAACATATAGATAAGGAATATCTTTTGGGCTAGCGTTTCGAGACCAACATTTATGGTGAATGCTGAGAGCCTAATTACCGAGAGAGCCCGTATTCACAAACTTTACTATAAGGTCTCAAAGTGCGCGTGGACGCACAGGGTGACACGAACCAATCACAGAGCTCTATTCAACGCTGTGCGTTCGATTTGCTGCTTCACTTAAGCATGCATCGTTTGTGAATACGGTCTTGAGGGTCATCGGTTCACCACTAGTTGCCAGTTATATTTACGTAAAAAGAAAAATAAACAATAAACTGTCGTTTCCATTCTGTATAGTTGTATCCACAGCTCTTTCTAACGTATCTGTCAGTGTCCCACTATCCTATTGTGCATTCCACTCCAGAATGGAATGGCTCGTAGTGCATATAGTTCCATTGTGAGTCCATTGTAAAGAGAAACGTGATTGTATTCGAATTAAAATCGTTGGGCCACGATTTATTAACACGATTATGTGATTCACTGGTTGTGTTCCGGACTCAGACAGTCCTTAGACTTTGGTTCTCAGGTTATTAGATTTTAGTTTGAAAATTCACGCTCATTATTTTCTCAAAATTGATTGTTTTTGTGGGCCAGCCACATAGCTTTGCATTAACTTTGAATAACATGTCTTGAGTCTGCTAGCTGGATACGTACATCAATGAGCTTTATTCTATGTAATCGACACCGATATAGAGACGAGAAATTAATCTAATACCTATTTACACTAACAATTTGAAAAATCATTTTAAATTATCTTACCAAAACCGTCACGCTAGTCGCCGGCTACTGAATTTTGACAGTTGCAGTAGACGTGTTTTAGATACAGTTCAAATGTTTCTTAACAAGTTGAATAGTTTCAATGAATGAATAGTATTAACTGTATTCCTTATATTCCAGGCTGGCGGCGCTCCAGGCAGCCGGCGCGAACGACTGGCGAGCGAGACTCTGCCGCCTCAGCCCCGACCGCGAAGACTCCAAGGCCATCGAGAGGGCAAAGAACAGGATCAACGTGAGTACCATGTTATTTTTTACTTATACCTTTTTACAGAGGGAGAAACGTAGAAAACACGAGCAATAGTCACACGAAGCGCCTTACGATTTCTCGTTAACGCGGCGGGCTCGAAACGCGCGGCGAAAATTTTGCTACGATTTATCGTGTAGGAGTCACAACATAATATTGTGGTATGGAGGCGATTATTTTGTTATACATAACAACTCTGACCTAAGCTGATTGTTGATAGATGGTTAATTATAAACTAATTATTCCTTTTTAACGCTTCATATCTCAACACCCCTTTTCCACGTTAACGCGAAGTATGCAAGATTGTAAAACAATTGCGGAGTGCACTCATAAGGACAACCCTCAACAGCCACCTTGAACGTTCAGACGGCCTGTAATAAGCTTACTTGCTCGAGTACGCGGTCAAGTGGAGCTTAGCTAGCAGTGCATCGTGCATTCCCTGTACAGCTCATCAACTGCATAGTGCAGGTTGAAGACCAAGTGCTAAGCTAAGGGTGTTTTTAATATTGTGCGGATTTCATCAATGACGCGGCATTTCCCCGCATGCGCCAGACACCCCCAAGTGTCCTTTTCATACAAAAGCTGGAGGCTGTATCCTAACAAGGGTAATAAAACAGAAAAACTGTAGAAGGACGACTGGATGGATATCTTTGATCAGATGTATGTAAAATATTTGAAAACAAGTATTGGGCCATAGTTTATTTAATATAAAAGTTCCTTTGTAGATTCGATGGAAAGTTAAATTTTCCCGGATTAAAAAGAGTCCAATGAAAGCTTACAGACGTTTTTATTCCAAACACCAGAAATTTACAATAATTCAATGTACCTAAAACTTTACAAGTTGCCATTTTTCGGGTGAATGCCTTGCTAGTAACAAGTTACATAGATACGATATCTTTAATTGATCTCCTATGTACACTGAATTCGCAGAAAGCCTATATCGTTCGTGGTTACGGTCGAGAGGCCTGTAATAAGCTGCCCACTCGAGTGCCTAGGCATCCAGTCAAGTGCCACTCGTGTGTATCACTGGCTCGGTTAACGACCACGTACAAATAACCATACTGACCATAGTCATAGATAATTTGTATGAAAACTTGTTTACTGAATTCTATCTATAATGAGGATAGACACAGTCCGTCTCATACTAGATGCATTAGGACTTGTTTGTATGATATTGAAGGATCTATGATGAGGATAGATACTTCAAAGTCCCTCTCATACTAGAGGCATTAGGGCGTCAGCAATTTAATTTTTCTCATCATTTTTGATTCTTGACAAATAATGTACCTATTTCTGTGTTCAGCATACAGAAATGATGAAAAAAATCTCCTGCTTTTTGTCAAAAAATTTAGTTGCTAAAGCCTGGATTAAATAAATGGTTTAGTTAAATAATTTAGCTGATGATGTATGACAAATTACCTGAACAGATAAAGTCTCATACCATTGATTTAAAAAAAGAAAGAAGTTATAAAGTTATGACTTATAAAAAAAAACAGAAAAGTGTACTTATTTAGATTCTTTCTAAAACTTACATAACAACGTCGCTACTTCTCATTCAAGAGAAAAGCTTTCAGCGCACTGCAGCATCTGACCTGGCCTTGACCGTAATAACCGCCCGGTTTCAACCCTTTTTCAAGTTCAAGTTGAATACAGTTTTACAGAGCTGTTCACACTTTATAAGAAATTTTATGGTGAAAACTTTGTAGGGAGGAAAAGCTTCATGTTTTCAAGAACCTGGCGTTCTCAAACTTTGGGAGTAACAAACAAGGCATTGCTTTAATCATTGTAAATGAAATATTTTATAGAACCCAGTCTATGTAAGATTCTAAAGATCCTTCGCCTTCCATTATGACGCCGAAACGTCAATCTGTAAGTACTTATGTACTACATAATAATACTGCGTCTGAAACCCATTGTTCTTAGTTTCAACAGTATCTTTTATCTTTATCTACCCAAGAGACCTCTTTACATTGTTGAGATGAAAGTTCACTGGATCAGAAAGAGAAAGACAGAATACTTAATTCAAAGACCCTTTTCGGTATTCACAAGATACATTTCCGAGAATATGACTTGGAAAAGTTGCCAAGAAACGATAGTGAGCATCAATAAAGTAACAAATCGATAAGCCAAGAAGTCAAGGTCAATGTTTTTGTTCCACCCGGAGATGTCACGAGCGAGTCCTATACAAATAGTGACGTGAGTGGTACAGATAGATTCATAGCAAAAATGCACGTTGTAAGAGCAAATGTTTCTGATTTACCTAAAGTATATACAGGTAGCGCAAATAGTTCTTGACACCCGAAGTAGCCAAAAAGTTCGCAACATGCTTTGTTACAATTGGAATAAGGTTGTGTTGTCAACTTTTTGGCCACTTTTGATGTCACGAACTATTTGACGCTGACTGTACCCTGATTACACGTAAAATTATTGAAGACATTTGAAATCATAAAGCTTCATAGATCGTTGAATTAACAACGGTAAAGCACCAGAAATACTGAAAGCTGTTAAAGGTAAAGAATAAAATTAGAAAAATGTTGAAATTAACTCTAGTTTTTGTGAGAGTTTAATTGGAGAAGTAATTAAAAATCTTCGTTTTACATTTTCCTACCACTCAGACAGTGGTTGAAAAGAAATCTCAAAAAGATAATTTAGCTCCAACAGGAACATTTTGCGTCCATAATTAAGACCTAGGAGTTTCAGTTAAAATAGAAGCGTGTTGATTGCGCCAAACACGACATTTCCTCGTTGCCTCCAATTAATTTTAATAAACGCTAAGTAAGGGAGCGGCCTCATTTTGCGAATAATGATTGAAGGATTTCTAAGAGTACTTCGTATAATATAATCATCATAGGTTTATGCGAGTGACATTCAAGAAAATTTTCATACTTCAATTGATTATGCAGATGATCCACAAGGTGAACCGACGACCTCATAAAGGTAGCAGGAAGGTGCTGGCTGCAACCAAGCAATATGGTAATCATTGGGGGAGGCCTATGTTCAGTAGTGGACGTCTTATGGCTGAAATGATGATGATGATACATATAATTAATATTGAAAACTGTATAATGATTCATTGGAAACAAACTAGTTTGTGAACAATAATTATGTTAATATCTATTTAATGCTGATTCCAACTGAAAGATTTATTTGGCAAGGTCTAAGAGATACAATTAATGAACTATCGTGACCAATCTAATAACTTGACGAAGGGCACTGCGGATCGATTTTGCGTGACTCCAATGAATTGGCAGCTTCTGATTTAATGGTGTAGGTACTACCTAATGACGACAAGATACTCANTTAAAATTAATGACTATGGTTTTGATAACGAATCTCTTTCTTTATTTTGACAAAATGTTTTTATTTATTTATTATCTGCAAGCTCTAAAATTCAATTCTGCGTTTAGGAATTTATTGACACTATAATTAAGCTGTATATTCAGAATCTATTTCCTCAATTTTGTCCATAATAAACACACTAGTTAATGCATTATTTGATCTAAAACATACGTTATTAGTATTTAAACAAAGTTCGTTATCCTCAAACGTGCTCCTGTTTACAACGAACATTAATCATTAATCACCTACAGGACAAACGGCAAGCCCACAGATAAATAAATTACAACTAAATAGTTCTGTCACTTATCAGTTGAACGCACCCGGAATCGAATCTATGACACTTGTGCTGTCATTGTCAGTCCATCTTCGGCGACAGCACAGGACAGACTACCCCGCGTGTTTATTTTTATAATATTTACTAAAATTGATACTAACAGGACAATTAAATATATCTAAATTGAAATACAATGACTTTATAATAGCTTACTTGTTGAAGTGTTGTTATAAGTTTGGTGTAGTGTAGTTAAGCATTTCTGTGTTGTGTGTAATAGAAAATCAGTGAAAATGCTGTCTTTAAGGCCGGTACACGATAGGCTTTTCAACTTTAAATCTATTAAGGAGAAATTCGAGCAGCCCAGGTAATACTCAATATCTTTATTGATTCCATAATCCCAACTAATATTATAAATGCGAAAGTAACTCTGTCTGTCTGTCTGTCTGTCTGTCTGTCTGTCTGTTACGCTTTCCCGCTTAAACCTCGCAACCGATTTTGATGAAATTTGGCATAGATATAGTTTGATTCCCGGGAAAGAACATAGGATAGTTTTTATCCCGGTTTTTGAAACAGGGACGCGCGCGATAAAGTTTTTCTGTGACAGACAAAATTCCACGCGGGCGAAGCCGCGGGCGGAAAGCTAGTAGTACATATATGGATGTTACAATGTATTACAATACAGATAGATAAGGACCCTTTTGGGCGCTTCAAGTTACTCATATAATCTCATACATTTTATATTAGCCTCTTTCTAGCGTCTTCATCTCAAATCGTGTGTGATGCCTAATTTAAAAACATGTTCTTGATGAAAGTTGTATGATATCAAAAGCCTTTTAATACAAAGGGTGAAGAGTGAGACAAAACAGAGTAGGTATGTATCGAGAGAGCTTGAATGATAAGAAAGGATCGTCCTTTATCTCGAGACTCGAGAGTCCCAAAGTGCTCCGTCAACAGCTCTACTTGGAGCTTTTATTGATAGGTATCTATCAATTTATTTGTTGACGTTGATACACGCTAACAATACAACATTTTGCTACTATGTTACCATCTTAGTTTTCCTCTTAGAAAGCCTTAATTACAATATACTTTGTCTGGTTCCAAAACCGTGATATCGTTTGTGATTTTTTGGTTTTCCACCAAGTTCACAAGGTTGTGTTTGCATTACCCATTTTACTTCTTAGATTTAGATGTATTAGTAAACCGTTGATAAGTCTTCTTGCAATTTAAATTGTACGTTAATGACAGTTTATTGTTATGCATTTTCACGTTCATACTTATTTATTTAAATATTACACAGAGTGCCGATTCTCTAGCAAATATACACGCTGTCCTTCGTAGTCACGTGAAAACGTTTCTTTTTGGTACTGTAGAAGGGCTACCATTGGTTCCCAAACTTATTTGAGACGCGCCCCCTTTCGACCACACAAAAATTCCGCGACACCCTCCTCCAGTCAAGATTATTTATTGGTCGTATCGAGCAGTCTGGAATGCATTCCCTCAGCGGTCTCAGGTTTTTTATACTTAAGTACACAGATGGCCTGCGCCCCCACTTTAAAGGTCTTTGCGCCTCCCCTGGGGGGCGCGTCCCCCACTTTGGGAACCAAAAGGCTAGACCTTAATTTAGTTAGTGTTACCTGGCGCATACCAATTTGTGTGTTTCCTTGTTTGCAGGGCGGGCGGCGGAGTGCAGCGCAGCGCGACGCATGCCGAGATGCCGCACCGAGGGGGCACCATTGCCGAAAGGTAAGTGATATAAACACGACATAAACGTATACAGTCAACAGTACTTCAGAATGTACACTTTTACTGATTAATGGCACTATTACCTACATTAGGCTGGTTTTAGAATCACGCTGACAGCTCGCTGATCGTCGGCGCT